TCTTTCCCTTTCAGCCTTACGAGGGCTATTGCTTTGGACTGTACTGGTGGGCACTCTGCAAGTGTAGTGTAGGGGAGAAAGGTAGCAGAAAGATGCCTCTGATATATTTTCACTTTATAACTTAATCCAGAATATGTTTGAAAAAACATTAAAGTAAATGAGTCAGCACACTTCAGCTCTGTCCTGCTTTTTTATTTTCAAGAGGAAAAGCACGAGAGGAAAAATTTTTAAAAGACAGACTGTGGTGTTTGAGAGACCGGTTATGATTTTTCCAAAGTACACTGTTATTTCGCACTCTTAAACACCTGCGGGGAGGAAACAGTAAGTGTTTATTTCAGCACTGTGCACAGTTGCACGTATAATAGCTGATGTTTCTTGAGGTTAATGTGAGCTGGGGTGTGAATAAGATCTGGTGGGTTGTATGGCACAAAGAGGCTGGTAACAGATTGATACTCCCAGTCAGTTGCTGGAGGTGGGACAGACCTTTACAAGCAAACAGCCATAGTTCTCCTTCTCCTGAAGTTCTCCTTTGTAATGCTGCCAAGAGTTTGTTCTCTTTGGTGGCAAAAAAGAAAAAAAAAAGGAAGAAATAGATTTAAGAAAATAAGAAGTAGTATTTAAACAATTTAAAGATGAGGCAAAGCTCAGATTGAAAGGAGGGAAAGAAGGTAAAAATGGTGAAATTTAAATTGATTACTAAAATAATGATAAAAATGTAATTGAAAATTCAAAGCATCGTTCAAACCCAAATAGAGTAGTATATGAATCAATCATGGCTATCAGAATCCGGATTTCTGACTTTCAAAGGTAAAGCAGGAAGCATAAGAACAAACAGGCTCCTAATAGTATGTCACACAAGTAGACAAGACCATGCCACACAGATGAGCGTCACTGTGCTGGAATTACAACCCAGGATCTTGCCACTGCGAATGACACCCACACCCACAGCTGTCTTCTTAAGATGCAGAAAGAGGTGCTGTGTTCTCTGGTCTCATCTGCAGAACTGCTGTGCGTCACGGGTTGTGTGGGTCTGAAAGCACGGATGGGCCCGGTGTGTGCTGACGCCTCTGGTCTGATGATCAGCGGTGGTGACGATGAATGGGGTCAGGCCTGCCGAGGGTATCAGGGTGATGGTAACCTGCACAGAAAGAAGCCTTTTTCTGCTGTTGGTTTTGGAGGTCAGGAGGAGACCAGCTGATGAGACATCAGGTACAATGCAGAAGATTCGGAAAAGAGAAAATGAAATGGCAAACCTGTCTGCAGCCATCACTGGAAGCAGATGACAGCAAAATTGTTCAAGTTGACTAGAAATGTGAATGACTTACAAATATATACTGACGATGACTGGAGAGGGGGAAAATACAGCAGAGAGATTAAAGGACTTAAAGTCTGAAGGGGAGGAAACCCCTTAACAATTCCCTTCCCTATCCCCTAGGAGAGACATAAAGACATAAGCAGCTCAGACAGATTAGACCAAAGAGATTAAGAAGGAGTGATGGGAGAAATGTAAAGAACAACTCCTTATAAAAACAGCAAGCGGTGGAGAAAAGTGCAAAATAAGTCTTAAAAACAGGTAATGGTAGTGCATAGGCACACACTGTGGTAATTCGTAGCCTTAGTCAGGCCTGAAAAGATCTTTATATATAAAATGTTGTTAAATGGAAGCTGTTATTTAACTTGTATATCATGTAGGGTTGTCTCCATATCATCCCTAATTCAGCCAAAACACTTGGTATGTTTTTAAGTTACAGTATGCAAAAGAATTGTGCTCTTAAGTCCTATTACATTTGATAGAAATTTAGCGCATACTTATTTTTGCTGAATAGCAGTCTTGAAAAGAGAGTGAAAGACGTAACTATCATGAATATTTATGGGGTGGCTTGTACTAATGAAGAAAATTCTAGATATATAAAGACCTTCTAATACTCTGTTTCAGAACAACACAATTTTTTTCTTATAACTGCAAATCTGTTCAGGAATATGAAAACCAGTGTACTGCAGAAGCGAAGTTTGTAAAACAGTTGGATCAGTGTGAGATGATACTGCAAGCATTTGAGTACGAAGAGTTGGAAAACACCCCTGGCAGACTGCAGGATTTTTACGATTCAACTGCTGGTATGACATTGGGGCTTTTTTTTTTTTTTTTTTCTTCCATAAATGAAGTGAAATATATCAATTGCCTTTTATTCTGATAGACATTCAGAGCAAGTGAGATCTAGTTATTTTACTCATCGCTCAAGTACCCTGAAAATTTTTGGGGAAACATACTGCAGCGTGAACATACCTCACATTTATTTGTATGTATTCAATCTGAATCTCATTTACGCCAAGTTCCTTTTATATCACTTTGGACACCTAGAGAGAGGCCCAGCTTTCGTTACACTTGCATGTGTCTAAGGATCTCCCTGTACCATCAGAGGGGGTATAAAGGAGGCTTCATTCTTCACTGATGCTCTGACAGCAGCTTGTTTGTACTTTGTTAGCGTTTCGTGAGCCAGTGAAATAAAATTTGTTATCCCTACATGAGCTGTGGTCTTGTGCGGCCTGCCCAAGGTACATGTGAGAACCAGCTCAGTGAAACGTTTTAGGTGCAACTGCATTTGGTTTTGTTCTATCCACTGCTTTTCATCCTTTCCAAAATAAACTGATAGTGGAAAGGAAAAATACGTAAAATAATAGTCCTTATTATTTTAGCAAGGGGATTGAACACCAGAAGAGGACTGTGACTGCAAGTCATCCTATCCTGGAAAAAACTAGGGACAGACAAACCTGGGGAGAGGACCAGCAGTCACCAGACACAGTCCCTGACAACTCCCATTTATACTTTGGTGACTCCTCAGGGAAATAATAAGCTCTCTGAAAAATGCAATAATTTGATTAGGGAAGAAGGAAAAAAAGGACAACATCAGCATAGCTGGAATACTTAATTTTCTCATTGACATCTTTGCCCTCCTACTAGAACTCGGTAACTTTAAGCCAGTGTCTCAGTAGGGCCTAGAGCGTATGCCCTACGCGCACCTGGAACTGGGGTGGTTTCCTGTAGCTGGATGCATAGCATGGGATTGTCCTGGTCAGGATGCATCCTTTTTTCAGCTCTTAAGTGTCTTAATAGAGCATGAAATATTTTTACAAGTTTTTGGGGAAAAATAGCTGCAACTACTCTTACAGTTATTCCATAGCTGGAGTAAGATGGGAGTGATTTCTTTCTTAAAAGAATAACTTGGTGTTTATTTTGAGCCTAAAGCAACGTCACTGCTAACCTTTCGCACCTAGGAAAATGAGAGCATTTTTAATTAACTTTCCCTTTCTTTTCTTTTGCAGGAAAGTTCGTTCACCCAGAAATACTACAGCTTGTATCTCTGATTAACACAGAGAGGAATAAAAAAATAGCTGCTACATCTCATCCACATTCCTGAAGTGTTTCTAAATGCTGTAGCTATAATAAATACTTTGTTTTATATTCTGCGCATTATTTTTCCTCCCGTAACATCACTAATTCTGCCAGCAGATTTTTTTTCTGTGCATTCACTGCTGAGAATCCCAGGACCACTTAGATAGGAGCAGGTGGGATAGTGACCTCCCAGATCGAAGGTTGTGTCGAGGACCAAATATTTAGAATGAGTTTGTTTGGCTTTTTTCTTTTTTTTTTTTTTTTATCAGCCTCTGATTGATGCAGTGTCAGTTACAAATAATTCTTCATCGGGGAAATTCAGGTAAGTTTAAAAATTAGCTGATTGCAATCTCATCTGTTCGTGTCATGCATTGACTGGGACAGGTGGTCTTGTTTTGTGACTTGTAAGTATGTATGGATTTAAGGACCTTCTGCATCAAATGGGTTAATATCTGATCACTGTGCTACACAGGAGTGAGACCAATGAGTACATTTCTCTAGAAGCTCTTGACAGAGCCAGACTTGGAGATGAGATTTCTTTGGAGTGCATAAGCCTTAAGAAGTGATGGTGGATAAAACTGGTAATCATCTCATTCATTACATTTTCCCAATACGTTTATAGTTTCACACAGTTGTTCCACTGCTCGTGTTGTATCAGGGAACGGTGCTGAGATTTCCGTAAGGCCGGTATTCCTGACTCCCCCTCGCCCCAGACTGGCAGTTTTACAGACTCTTGCCCAGGTAACTGGTAACCACAGGACAGCTGAGGTTGGGAGGAACCTTTGGAGCTTGCGCAGTCTTAACACAAAAGCCTGTATGCCCAGGTAAAGCTGGCCGTCCCTTGTTAACGCTGTTACTCGCTGGTACTGACTCTGCTGTAAATGACGGTTTTTAGCAGAGGTAACAATGCTAATGTAAAAGTACATCATGGTTGTCAGGTAAAGCTGTAGTGGTGGTAAATGCCATCATGAGGCCAGTCTGCACTACTAACTCGTGTCATGCGTGCAGCTGGAGATTAGGGCAATGTCACAATTACTACATCATAAAAGTTTGCACCTGGCAAAACTCATGTCAAATGAGGCAGCATAAAACTAAATGCAGCGGTCGTCCCCTTTAATGGCAGGTAATCTAGCTGAGCACGCGTTGTCAGGCACCGTCGCTCCAGGGAACGTCTCCTTTACGCAAAGCTCGGGGGCCCGACGGAAGCTCGTGCTGCGTTCTGGGGCTGCTGCCTTTGGCAGAGGCAGAGGGCGAAGCGCAGAGCTGCTGGGAGCTCTGGCCTTAGCGGCCGGCACAGCGCACAAAATCGGCAGGGCGTATTGGTCCGGGGGAGGCGCGGGACGCCTGCTCTGCCCGGGGAGCCCCCCGAGGCAGCGGTTGTGCCTTGTGGAGACCCTGGAAGAACAAGCTGCACCTCACTGAGCAATAGGAAGCTGATCAGTCGTTACTGGTGGCTGTCACGCTGCAAGGGTGACGGCGTGGGGCCCGCTGAGCTTTGTCCAGGGCCCATCAGTCTTCAGCATTTTTATTCCACCGAGATGCGTACAAACCATAGCCTCCATTAGTTTGTATTAAATGCCAAGCCCGAAAGAGCTACAGATGCATTGGAAGAGAATTGAGAACATTCTCACAAACAAGAAAAGAAAAAGAGAGGTTTGACGGAAACACAGCGCAAGCGCTACCCCAGCAGGAACAGTCGGTTCCTCCAACGCAGCGGGAGGCTTTACTGGCTGGCGAAACCCCGTTCTGCAGGGGGCCCGGGGGACAGAGCGCCCAGCCCCAGTCAGCAGCGCAACGGTGCAAGAAAGGTAAATACTGCCCTGGGAAACGCAGACGTGGTTTGAGCGTGCGTTGGGTGGGGTTTGGTTTTGTTTAAAGAAATGCAGCAGCTACTTTACTTTTGTGTAAAATGACATTCCCTCCTATGCACTGCAGGTGCAATCGCGTGTCAGTTTTGGGCGCTGCATTTTAATAGAAATCGGCATTGGTTGGAAAGAGACTGGAGGAGAAAGCGCCATCGGAAAGCGTGAGCTGTGATGACAGGGTGATAGAAGGGTTAGCAGACAGCCTGTGGGGCTTCGGGCTTCCCAGTGCAGTACTGAAGGGCGCTGTTTGCGTGTCGGAAAAGCGTCCTAGGCCCTGGATGTGCAACCTATGAAAGGAAATCACCTCCTCCCATGTCCTTCTCCTGATCTATTCATATCAGCATTGAGCCCCCACATAGTGGCAGCTGCTGTAATGACAATAACATGTATGGATTTATATGGAAGAGAAGCTTGTCAGGCCAACCTACCTCCACTAAGTCATACTCACACAAGCTCTTTAAATTATGCTCTTAATGAATGTAGTTAAAAGCAATTTACTGCTTTCCCAGACGCATTTTTCTATGTGTATATGTAGATACATACATACCTAAATACATAAATAAAACGAGGTGTAAATCAGTGTCCTGTAGAAGATGACAGTGCTCGGACTCCATGTTTTAACCTTGGTTTGGCTGCTGGCCCTGCTCAAAAGAAGGTCAAGGTGTTTTCTGCCATGCATTTCACTTTTACTGAACTTGGTTCAATTATTTTTCTCCTTTGAACCTTTGGCCACAGATTTCCACAGGGAGTTTCAGGTCCAGAAGGGACTGAACAGGTTTTTAAAAACTGTGGGGATGGCAGATTATGTTCTTGCAATTTACCTTGATACTCTGCTGTGACATAGCAAGGCATAGAGATGCACAGTAATACCGGTAAATACACAGAAGTAAAAAGAAAACACCACAAAGTGTAAAAGAGTAAGAGAGAAATTTATTTTTAATAAGAATATCAGTAACTTCATTTACACAAACTGAAGTGACCATTAATACCTTCTTTATTTAAATAAATTCACGTTTATGCACAAAACCACAAAATAAACTAGCAAACTGTCACAAGAAAACTGTACTAAGAAAACCTAATTAAATTTGCTTCCATGCTAAAATCACACTAAAGAGGCATTTGATGTAACTGTCCAAAGTTAACTTATGTCCCGTGGAACATTACGAAAGGACTTCCAACTTCGTAAAAACTATAACGAAAGCCACGTGGGGAAAAAAAAAATCACTTAAAGCCAAGTTTCCTCACAAGATTTTAAGCACTCTGTAATGTCAAACTCACTAACGCTGGTTTGAAGCTTTGGCTTATGCTCAAAAAACGCATCCATTTTGGAAGTAGCCAGACTGTTTTCTGCACTTTATTGATCAAGTTGTGCTCATCTCAGTCTGGCGAACCGAGTGATGCAACATGCAGACTGACGTGCTCACTAGACAGCAAGACAGTGTCACAAGTGTGCTGCTCTTTTCTTAGAGAAAAAATGTTAAAAGGATACAAGAAAACATGCTGAAGCAAAGCTGAGAGATGAGTGGCTCGCGATGATGAAGCAGATATAACGCGGTTGGTGGCACTGTGTCCCGGAGTGAAGCACGACAAAATCTGATGCCAAAAGTGACGTACCTACTCCTCCTGTGTCTTGTAAGATAGCAGGGTTTATGCTAGCAGCTCTGAAGTGCAGACTGAAGGCATGGGCTCTCTAACCTACGGCGCATCTTAAGCCAATTGCTGGTTTTGTATTCTTTCACTTAAGGCTGTATCTTGACTGAGGCTCGTAAATTTACCTTCCCTGATTTTTGAGGGGAAGATATGGAGGCAAAATTATTAGAAGTTCCTGCTGCTCTGCTTCCTTTTGTAATTAACTTCTACTGGCAAGTTTTATCAACCCCCAGAGAGCAAGCAATGGAACATATTTTTAAACTGAAGCTTTTCCAGCTGCAATGGTCATCTTAAATCAGCAGCTGCGATCCGTTCAGTTTCTATATAAATAACGTGTGTCTCTTCTGTCCTCCTTAACTCTGCTGACTAATGGGTGGAGGGCAATGCCAGACTGTACCAGCGAAGGAGAAAAAACTTTTTGTGACAATAAGTGATTTAATTCCGTTAGGAAATAGATCATGTGCAGACACTCCTGAGCAAAGGGCACCTGGTATGGCTGGTAGACAGTTGGTATATGGACTATTGCTGGCAGCAGAAATCTTTGCACAGCTCTAGGTCCATCTGTCTGATGTGGCACTGAGAGGGGAGTTGGAAACCAACTGAGAGAAAACGGTAAACTAGAAGAAATAAGAAACAGAGACTGGGAGATTGTTGGAGGGAAGTTACGTGAAAATGAAAACTACTTTGGTCACTTAACATAGAATTTAGAGCATTCTAAGTCAATGACTTGCATGTGGTTTCTGTGGTGTACGAAGTACCTGATTATAAAATGGCCCACCCAAAATACAAATAGAGAGAGGAAACATTTCTCCAGCAGAAGGCCAGGGAGGCAATTTTCCAAAGCTGATGAAACCTTGTTGCACAAGCTGGGTGGCGAGGGAGGTCTAAAACTCACTGGCTGGCTGGGCAAGTCTCTGAAGAGAGGCATGTGAGGCTGAGGAGGGCCTGCCGTCTAACACTGAAGTTCTTCCTCGCTCTCAGGGAGGCGGGTGCCAGCAAGAGAGCTCTGAGCGCTGGCATGGGCTGTAGAGCTGAGAACTTCTTCAAAACTGCCCCCTGTGTGGCTTGTCCCACCAACCTTGGTCTGAAACAAGGCAAACAAAGAGAAGAGCAAGTTCCTCTGCTCACACTGTAGCAAGTCCCGTTTGCATTCCACCCATGGCCATGGAGGACTGGGCACTGTTCAAAGCAGGCAGAGAACATGTGGGGTTGGGTTTTTCTTAGAACAAAAGCTATAAAAAACAGTCAAATAAAGCAACTCCTTCCCTCCCCCAATTTCTAAACTTCTAGGCTGCAATCATAAAATCTGCCAGTGGCATTTATCATATGCTTAAAGGGACCAGTCCCTAAGCAGATCCCAGGCAGAATCCTAGATCCTACCAGTAGACTTAAGAGCAGTTCTTTACATGAGTAGCTCACTCTGGTTTTCACTGTCTTTTCCAGTTCTACACAGGCTGGATAAGAGACGCGTATCAAAATGAACTGGTTCGTTTCCTGAGTAAAGTGGCCCATCTGCCAGCAATGGTAACACAGCTGCTCTCCAAGTACATAAACTGTACTAGAAGGAATGTAGTAACCAAAGAACAAAGCCGGCAGCTCGTCTCCCTTTAGGTACTTGTAGCTACCTAGATACTGATATATAAAACTGCCCACAGCATTTTCATGTGGGGAGGGGGGAGGAAGAGCAATCACATTACATTAATGAAACCTCTGACAATGTGCTCATAGGTCATCTACTTCCAAAATGCTTCAGTTTGCTGAATTTGTAAATGTAAGTATTAAAAATAAAACCCAATATGACTACATCTCTGAAACACAGTTTTCCTAACAAAGACAGAGCTTTATCTAAAGATTTGGAAATGGTCAAGACTAAATGACGAAGAGACAAAGCTGTTTTGACTGGGTTGTCTTGGTAAGAGAACGTTCTTTTGTGGTTTGGCTAGTGGTTAGGCCCACTCAAAGTTGATTCAAGCCTGAAAATAGGGCAAAACTTTTTACTCCACCCTAGAACTGCAGCAGGACTTAAAAGACAAGCTGGCATTTTTCCAGCCTGTCAGCCACTGAATGCCTAGGAAGATTATTTTAATTAAATGAACTTTGTGTCCTAAGTTTCCAAAGGGTTATGTAGTCCTTTGTTTCATCAGCTAGCACAGGAGCTTGCCTAGCTTGAAAGTTCAATAAAATAACGTAGGAGCAGGCTCGATATTTGACAGGTTGAGTCACTGTTATTAAAAGTTCCCATCTTAAGAGGTAAAAATATGTATTCAGTCTAATGGGTTGTGCTGACTTTCAGAAAATATCAGTCCATCACTGATTTTTGCAAACAGCAATACAAAATACATGTATTGCTAAATGTTGGTAGGCCCAGAACTTGCAGTGAAAAGGCAGCTGCTGCCTAGTCAAGCTACTATTAATTTTTCATGGCAAAACTCGTGACTTCTATTTGCCAATTAAATTTCACAAAAGAACATTGATTCGGACTGATTGTGAAAGTAGCCCATTCCTGCACTATTTCAAATGACTCAGACAAGGTGCATCTGAATTTGGACACCTCAAAATCAGAAACATTAATGCAGTTTCATTTTCTGTTTGCTTTTCTGCCTACTCTTCCATCCGAAAACAAGAATGATGTAAATCACTTTACTGAATGCCTCTGGCCAATACCCCGGTGTTTACGCAAACATTTAATTCATCCATGTTCTGATTTCTCAGAAAAGTTGAAGAGAATGAGGCACCCGGTTCCTGTTGATTTCCCGGGGAAGTTGAACTAACACACTCTCCTAAGAAAGCTGCAACCCACAGTCCAAACTCTAAGAGCAAATAAAATCTAATTTGAAATTTGACTTCTAAATGTATGACATCTGAACATCCGTTTTGGCTGACTGCAGAACATTGTAGGACTGCTGAAGATCTGTAGCTAATATGGGGGGTAGGGGGAAGACGATAAGAGTACTGCTGTTCTTTTCTTTTTTCAGAAGCCTCTCTGGCAAGTTATCCACTTTTTCAGACCACAACAGGATCCTAGAATTGGAAGGGACAGCCTGTGATTTCACCCCCCCACCCTCTGGTCTTCCTAATCTTGCAAGCCTTGGAAAACAGAGGCAGGGAAAAGGAGGAACAGTGCTGAGACATTCCCAGTTGTCCACAGCCTACACTCATGGCACCCGAGGTCCGCGACTCCATTTCCTTTCTCCATTTACACAAAGAAATGAAAGAAAGAGAGAGAATACAGAAAGAAAATACTTCAGAAAATGTCAGTGGGTTTGCCAGTAAAGACGGACAATGAAGGTTTTATGGGATGTGGAAGATGACCTTTGTCCTGCTTAATTAAAGATTCCTTAAAGGATGATCTAAGAGCACTCTGAACACGATAGGCTAAGAGCTGGCATGACAAATAGTCTCCTCTAGAACACCTTTGCTTAACCAGCAAAATAAGATCAGGCTCCTCAAGCAGATCACTGTGAGAAGAAATGGTCTTCAGAGCTGTGCAGTTTGAATTGACTTTTTCTGAATGACACACTGAGGCGACTGGAAACAGACACCCCTCCCTTGGTGCAGAAAGGACATCACCCACATTTGTCCTTTGCTCAAAACAAGGCAAAAGGCTTTAAGCTGTCCCTCTTGCAGGTTGGCCTAAGTGTAGGAGGAATGGATTTGTGGAGTCTAGAGTAACCTAGAATCAAACTTGGGAGCTAAAATTACTACTGAAAGCCCTGAGAGCAGGTTTAGTGACTAAATGGGTACAAAAAGTGCTGCACTTCTGGTGAGTGGTGAAAAATGGAAAAAAAAAAATCCATTTCAGACCTCAGGTGTTCCAATGAGCTGCATCCCTTATCCCTTATCTACCCTTCTGGGTAGAAGTAGAAGGAGCACAAAGGGATAAGCAAGCGATACACTTGACTGCAACAGACAGGAATTCAGAGCTTCCAAGCTGATGCACCCCACTGCATGAATGATTTCTCCTACAGCGAGGCTGAGTATAAAAAGCATTTGCAGCCAAGGTGAAACGAATGAATAGGAAAGTGTATCTGTTCTAGCTCCTTGGGATGCTCCTAGTCTTTGCTGGGATGCTGTCTCTCCCCTGTGAAGCTGAGATGATGTTTCCTTCTCTGACACGGTGCAATGGGGATGACATTACCCTACACTATCATGACTTAAAGTTGTCAGAACAGCCTATCACTCAAAATCTGAAAAACAATAGAGAAACTCTGCATTCTTTGACGGACATGCTTATTTAGAAACATAAAAATAAATCAAGCTCTCTGCTGCTTACTTTCCTCAGACACGGACTGGAAAATTTTGTGCTGTACGATTTCACAGCAGCGTGGAAAAGACAGACCTTCCCTGTGCACTTGCTGCTTCAGTTCTAGCTGTAATTTGCATTTTCTGTATGAAGGAATGTCCTTCTGTCCCAAGTGGAAGGCCATTTTCTTGCCTTTTTAATGCTTTACCAGTTGTAACACCCTTTGACATGAATCTAGTATTTTCAGTTCCCCCTAAAATGAGGGGTGATCAGTTTGGCCCTTGTCCACTGCCAGATGGTACTTGGAATGTGTTGGAATCTTTCTGTTGCAGCGAAGCAAAATGCCATTTTATGAGCACACTTGACTTTATTTGATGAGTAAGAACCATTAGGAGACAAATCCTCTTGTCCCCCCTTGAATGTGCCTTACCATGCAGCAAAGATTAGCTCACTGCAAATTTGCCATGCTCTGTCCTGCTGAATTAGAGCCTTAATAAGTGCTATTAGTGATAACTGGTAACTTTGCCATCAGATCTTCCTGTCCCACAGCAAATATGTCAATATAGTTTTGAAATTTGAGAGGAAACACACCTGCATTAAAGAACGATGAGTTCAGTGCTAAGAGCCACACAGGTAGTGTGAGTTACACCCGAGTTACGCGACAGCTCCCACCAGCTGAGCAGGGGGCACTGGGTGAGTACATCTCCAGTATTGCAAGGAGCGGAGCTGAGGGATGGAAGTTCACTCTGCCAGCACGTGGCTGCGTCTGTCTGGCAGGGCACAGCGCAAAGCTCACGAGGCCGCACCGCTTTCAAAATCTGACCTTGCATCTGCACATGGCTCTGCCTTGCGCAGCATAACCAACCGTGGTCACACCTTAGGAGATGTCTCTGCTTTCCGTTTTAGTATGGTCGTATTTTTGGCATTTCTGAGACCGCTTCTTTACTCTGGCAGACAACGGAAATAATTTCTTAGTAACAAAGCAGAGAAAGACTATGTCTTTGCATATTGCCTTCATTTTCCATTAGTGCTCTTGCAGTTCTATGAAATTCTTGATGGAACAGCAAATTCAATCGGTCTCCCGTACAAAGGATAGGGACAACCACGCTGACACACTTTAACACGCACAGCTACGTAACTCTGCCTCTTTTACCTTAAGGCTTGTGACAGTGGTCTCAACCTTCTCCTCAAACGATTTGAAAGTTGGAGAATTCCTAGGAGAAAAAGAAAATTGAAGGAAAGACAAAGAGTCAGTTGCGAACGTAATGGGGTAGCTCCACGATTTGATCCGTTCTTAGCAGGCAACAATGCTAGGCCAGAACGGAGGCTGGCGGGCAGCACAGGGCTACAGACTGATAGGGTATGAAGAGTCACTTGTGCTCTGTCAGTCAAATCTAATTAGAGGCATGGGATGAGTATATTTTAGCTACAAATTTGCAAAAGCAGAACCTGCCTAGTAATTGAAACTAAGCAGCGACTGATACATTTACCGTGTTCTCAGAACAACCAGACAATGCTGGCTGTACTGCTGCATTTCTGTGGTTTTATCCATTTGTGGTGTTGCTCTAAAGAAATTAACATTTTTTTTTTTTTCAGCTGATGAGCAAGTTCATAATCTACATAATTAAAAAGATGACAGTTTAATGTCCTGCGGCTAGGATGAAGGAGATTAGAACTACATAGGAAGTGGGTCCCAAGTGCCTTTGAGGAATCCTGACCCCCCACTCCATGATTTTGTGACCGCAGGTGTATCCTGGTGCTTTCAAAGACAAAGACTTTAGGGAGACTGTGTTCCTAGGGTGCCCCTCTGACAAAGCTAAGCTTTTCTCTGCCTTTCACTCCCCGTAGAACAGAACACAACGCTGGTTTTGGGAAAACTATGGAGTTGAACATATCTTAAAAGAATTAAAAAAAAAAAAAAAAAAAGCAACAGCTGTGATTTTCCTTCTTAAATCAAATACTTGGTTTGCTGGGTTGCCTGACAACCTTGTTCTTTCTTTCTTTCTTTCTCCAAAACTTCAAACATAGCTTCTCCCTCATTTTAAATGCATTCATTTTTTTACATTTTTTCCTGCAAACAGAGCATACTGACCACAACTAACACCTGCCATGTAATATTATGAATATAATGCATATGCTGTTTTAAAGTGAGAGTATGGATCCCCACAGAGATATGTACACAAGTTGCCCCTCAGTTGCTTAGTTGGATGTCTCTTCTCCCCTTTTTGCAGCAGCTTCCCTACTGCTGATAATCCCTGTCCCGTGTAGGAAGACATGCTAGAATAGAATCATAGAACCGTTTAGGTTGGAAAAGACCCTTAAGATCATCGAGTCCAACTGTTAACCTAGCACTGCCAGGTCCACCACTAGACCATATCCTCAAGCACCACATCTACCTGTCTTTCAAATACCCTGAAGCAGGCATGCTGGAGTCAGTACAAAAGCTTGTCTCCTTCTCCAGCAGTTTAGCCAGCACAAAGGACTTGGGCAAATCTACAGTGGGTAAAGGAGACCTTCTTCTGGTTCTCTGCTCCTTGCTTGACAACTGAGAGCTCAATTACAGCATACTTTGCGCTTCATTAGTAGTGAAGACTCTGCAGCTCAGAAACTGTTGTCCAGCAGGGTTCCTAGTGTACTTTCTTTACCACAAACGGAACAATGAGGCAGAACCACTTTACCCTGGCAGGTGCCCATGTCTTTGTATCATCCACAGGGAAAGGCAAACACGTGCAGGAGCCTGCACTTCATTTTGCAAAGTGATGAAGCCAATGGCTGCTAAAACTTTAGCGTTCCAGTTAATTCTCTTTGCATATTCTGGGAACTTAGCAGGAGCATGATGACGGCATCTATTTCTGCAAATACATTTACATCATATTGCTCATCAGGCTAAGTTAAACTGATCTTAATTTACATTAGGTGGCCGAACTGCAGGAAACAGTCAAAAGGCTGCACAGTACTAGAGGAGCCGAGACAGAGATAGATAGGTGGCTTCAGAGCCATGTTCCTGTGGTGGACACCACTGAGAATGAGGCACCTTGGACCCTGGTGACTCACAAAAGCAGGACTCCACATCAACCTGCACCCTCCACCATCAAAATCAAAACCAGATATGAAGCCTTAACAGCTGAGGACACCCATGAGCAAGGCCTGCAA